TGCTCATTGGCAGTAACTTGCAGTAGCTACATCAATTTCATCCTTCCCTGACTTTCCTGTTATTTTTCTCTGGTGAATTCCCCTTGATTGCTAGCTACATGATGTACGAAAAGACCATTTGTGTCGGAGGTCGTGTTAGGTTTTCCGGCAAGTTCGGGCGAGTGACTCGATCATTGGCTTACTGTGTGTTAGTCAGGCTTCACCAATTCTGCCTGTGCCCTCAACTATTGTCGTGTCTGCACGAGTTACACCTTGGGCGGAGGCGCACATCATGCCAGTCACTACGTCTATTTCATCACTAGTAAGCCGGCGGTCTCAGACAGGCCACTTTCGCCTAGATGAGGGAATATAAAACGAAGCCATTGCTGAGGTTGTCCTTCTCATGGAAATTCGATATCTCCATAGGTATAACAGATCATACATGCTCAACATTCTCACAGTTTACTGAAACTGGGCCCAGAGGATTTCCAACTAACGGGGCAGTTCTGCCCCCTTTCAATCGCGTCAAACTGCAGCAATTTGGTACGACGCTTATGCCACCTCTCGTTAAATTTCAAACTCGTATAAGGAAGCCTCTGACAAGGATCAGTGCGTACATTTCCAACCTTTGTTTCCGGAATTTTATTTTGTTCTATACTTCATGCGGCTGCTATCATGCCTGACCCGACCGGCCGCGATGATATTGCGGCTTTCAATTGCACGCGTGAAGATCAGCGCAGCGGCTCGTTGGAGCTGGATTCACTTCTCCCTGGCGTTAGAAATCGAATAATAACGTTCCAAAACCGCCCCATCTGACGGATTGTGCTAAGCCAGATTTTGAGCTGATCCCGTCAACGCCTCCAAGCGGGCAACGGCGCCGGATCAAGGGCAGCAATGTCGGGCTCATGGGACGGACTGCGAGGAACACTCTCAATTCCCCCGGTCGTCTTTCTTGGATGGCCTGAAATACCCTCGCGATGTTGTCATAATCCCCAGCACACACAAGTCTGTCGCGGTAGAAATATTGCGTCGGCTTCATAGTTATTTCCCAAAGATTGTGAAAACCCTCTAAGCAGCATCGATTAAGGAGATAGTGTTGTCCTCACTCTGTTCTTGGTGCGACTCCTGGCTTACGTGAGCTAATGCAAAGATATGCCGGGAGCTTATATTTTGAAACCAGGACTGTTAAAGTTGAACCATTACCAGCATTATGTCATGTCATACCATATATTCTAGCCTTTAGCTTGTATATGTCCCTGCAAAAGAATTATACACAGCAACATCGGTCGTTTTTCTGAAGAGGAGACAAACGTTTCCAAAGCCTTGATTTACTTTTTTTCACGACGTCTAATATCACGATGGCAAACTTACCGCACTAACATTGATTACGCGACTTTTTGGTGGTCCGCCATAATTCTCCCGAATAATATTCTGGATTATGACTTACGCACCACGAACATGAATAATTTTTTACGATTCCTCATTTCAATCTTTATTTTTTTCTCGCCACTTTCAACCTTGTCCACACCACAAGTTTGTCCCTCTACTCTCCCCCTGTGGAGTATTTCTTCCTGTCTAGCTGCTTTTTCTTTTGCTTCTGTAGTTTCGGGTTCACTGGTGTTCAGTACCGCACATCCCGTGAACTCTGACACGCCCATCGCCACATCATGTCGGACACCGTCGTTGAGTACTTTGACTGCCTTCTCAAGAATCTTTTCGGGGATGCAGCCGTTGCAGTCGTACGAAGTATGCACATTCGCGGCCCTGTCTCTCTCAGAGACATTGATCGCAGTCTGTCGGGGAAGATTGGGCAGCGTAAGGTAGTGCATAACGTGAAAACAACTCTTTCTCTAGACCGCGGCATGCCTGATGTCACTTTTGCGTCATAGGATTGTGCGCTTCATCCCGGGCGATACCAATAAGTATGATATAAACTTCGAGGGTATACAGATGTTATCCAGGTAACTTCCGTTGAACTGTTTTACAAATAGGAAAGGATCCCGATATACTGCAAACTCTGTTTGCTGTTCTACGGCAGTGCCGCAGGAGACATCCTCCTTCCCCTCTTTGCTACTGGAACAGCCAAAACCTCGGAAATCCTTCGTGCTGCCCTTATGCGCAGCGCAAAAGGTCTGGCCATATTCTCTTTCACATGCTCGCCCTTCAAGGCAGCAAAGAAGACTATAAGAAGTCAGAACTGCTGGTGGACACTCTTGCTATCCTTACTAAGACCGGCCTGTTGCAACCTGTTAAGTCGGTCTGTCATACAGAGGTTTGTGATGAGGAGCAGGAGCGACCACCCTCAGAATATTCTGTTTCCAAAACGGAACTTCTGGGTACGATGTTCCTTTTCTTTGGTCTGGTTTTCCTGGAGACCTGACTAAAGTGCCTCCTTACTTTCCACTCCCGTAGTTCCGTAAACCGTTCAAGAGCCTTATTTCTGCAAGTCTGTCGTACCGTCCTTTTTAAATGATCTATATCTCTAGACACACAAACCAATTTGTTTTTAAACATACTTGGCCATTAGAGTCGATGCGCTTTATGTCGTTCAAACTTTCTGAAGGTGATTTGCCAGTAGGAAATGGTAGATGCATTAGGTGCATCTGCTAGGATCTTTCCAGTTTACTCCTCTAGAATCAATTTACCATTATATGCTCTAAGATGCGCACCCTAAGTAAAAGGGTATATTTTTTACCGCATCCGCGTAAATTTAATTAAATATGAGAAAGTTGTTTGTGCAGATTCCATCTAGGATTTCATGTCACCAATGAGCTGCCCAGGTCATTTGCGGCGGTCTCATCTTATCTGTCAGCAATATTTACTGACGTTTATTTTTAAAGACAATTTACAGAAATTCGTTTCCGCCGGCGGGAAAGTTGAGAAATTCCGTCAAAACCTTCCTGTACGTTGAACATCCTTTGTAGTTGACCGTTTATTTTTGCTACCATCCTTCTTGAGTAGAATGTTTCGAAGTGCATTTGCAGATAATATATGGGTCTACGCACAATAATTGGTGTTTGGCGTTATTTGCGTCTAAGTGACCTGCCTTATCATGCATTATTTTTACCTTTTCGATCGTTCTTACTCTGTTTCAATTTTTTCAAATCAAAGACGACGAAGCCACCCAGCCCTTGGGATGTTGTGCTGACACCAAACATTGACACTCTTAATGCTCTCTGGAGAGACAAAATCATTGCACAAGTGGCCGCTGAACGAATCGATGAGGTGAGAGCAGTCCACGCAACCCTTGCTTTTTTACGTGCCTTGTCTGTAGTTAGGCATAACGTTGTTGGGGTGCCCACATATTTCATGACTTACCTTATGGATGCTCGAGGTTATCAGTCTTAGCCTGAGGGTGCGCTAATTTAGTACCCTTACAACAGGATTCTCGAACTGATTGTTGATTTGGCCGTTTGGGAAATGGTTCGCTGCCGAGGAACTGTCAGAGTTAATCTAGCCGAAGACCTCTATGTTTACTGCCACGTGTTTTTGGATGCCACAATCGGATTTGTACTTTCAAGCCTTATGCCCACACAGTTCAGTCTCTTTCCTATCGCATTGATACTGCAGCGGAGGTAATCACCATCTATCTTTTCCAATTACAGACTGCCGGAGATATCATGTCACGACTTTTGTGTGTGGCAAATACTTCCAATCGCAGCACTCACATCCTTTCTGCAGCTTGCGAGGCCGTCTCACATGCCGAAGTAAGTGAATTTAACTCTCCTGCTTCCCACCATGATGGTCGTCTTCCACTGGTCCGCTCTCTAAACCCTGTACCAGTTGTGTGTTTTAGTAAACTTATGAACAATCTGAGTGTGTATGCTTTTGTTCCTGTAGCTCATGCGCAGTCTCAAGGAGGTTCCAACCTACCTGGACTCGTACATTGCTCTCCTTCTTGATGACCCGGTAAGAGTTTCTTCTTTTTTCGTTTCTGGGCCAATTTGTCCGGATAACGCGGCCCCGCGCACCGCCAGTGTCCTGGCTTGCGGTATTCAAATAATGCCTGTAGGTATTTAACTTCTGACCTCAGGTATGCCTGTCGAGCGTTTGCCCTCGGTAGTTCACTTGACCGAGTCATTTAATGTGCCCTTCCCCTTCGTCCCTCGCCCCTTTCACCTTTATACAGCCATCCACTTTTTAGCGTTACCTTTAATGGTCGAAGGCTTGTCCTGCGCCCAAATGCTATCGGTTGCTTTAAGGTTTCTTTTTTTACCTTCAGTTCTGCCTGTTGGAACAACAGCCAGGGATTGCAGGAGGCATGTATATCTGTCGTATCCTTTTTTGTCCGTGGATATTCCATATGTATATGACCGAAGTTTATTGTGTTATTTTCACACTTCTCTGTGAGTTTTCTCCTTGACGCGGCTCACTTAGCCTACAAAAAGATCGTCAAGCATCTCCTCATCCGCCACGCCGAAAATGTTGTACAAGTGCTGTGAGTTCTACCGTTTCGCATACCCTTCGTCCGCCTTCTGCGTTCCCCTTTTTCCCGTACTGGGTTTTACTCAGATAACACCATCAGTAGCATGACGTGCTCGTGCGTCAGTCACGCCTTGCATTGACGAGGGGGTTCTTTGCCGGTTTTCTCAGAGGCGTGTTAGTATCATTGTCTGATTTTGCCCCTGGGAGACAAAGTTACGGCGTGCTTTGTGGAGGATCTCTTTGAGACTTTAACAGCCACATTCAGTCGACTATGGACTTAACCCAGTGTTTTACTTTGGAGAGGCGGGGGCGAAGCTAGTAGGACGGTCGTCTCCGATGCCGAGACTGAAAACACGCTTGCTTGCCAATGAGATTGTAGGTGCGACCTGCTTTAAAGAGGTTTTAGGTCACCCTAACTACCCCCTTTCCTCATTGTGGCGTCTACATGGCTTCCTTTTCATTTGCGCAGAACTGGTAGCGCACTTCAGATGTATTTTCCTGCATTTGCGCCTAATTTATATTCACATGCCTTAGCCTGCAGATCTAAGGTATTGGTCATTTTTGCTAAGAAGTGGGCTTCCTTGTAAGTGGTCAGTGCCATGGTTACCCCTCTCCGCCCAAATATTTTATTAATCGTAGAAATAGCCTTCAAAATTTCGTCGATCCTACCTTCTAGGCATATTGAATGCACAGTAAAGGCAGGTTTTTCACATGCCTCGTTTTGCACTGACTCGCAGTTTTGTGCATACTGTCCGCCATTACTCGTTGGACGCCAACCGGGGAGTCTGCCGTCAAATGGTAAAAAAACACATCTTGTTTATGTGTTTGCACATTTTTTGCATTTTTTACTGGTCTCTTGATTTATTTGTCCCACTGTTCGTATTCCAAAAAAACTCCACATTCTCAATCTTCCCACGACTTTGATAGACACGACCAGAAACTGCCCTCCACAGTACTGGAGAGACTACTTACCAACCACTCAAGCACAGCTTTCTGTCCTTCGCTTGCAGTTAGATGTTGTATGCTCTAATCTGGGAAGACTTTTAAGTGAAGGTGGTACTTCTGTTCCTCGGTAAAGCTGAAGTTTCTTGTCAGTAAGCGCTGGCGTCACGAACATTGGCTACATCCTGTCCACTAGAGTGTAGGTCGACAAGAAATCAGCATTCTGTGTTCCCCCAATATTCCGATTTTGGATATCATGGATAATCTCCCGAAGAACCATACTTCACCATTTTGCTTGCTTTCTGGTCAAGTGGCATTTAGGTATCAAATGCAGATTCTGAGGCCTTTTCCTCCACAATACTTGCGTGCCCATCACCAAGTTTTCATGTACTCGTTCAACTGAGCGCTCGCTCAAAAGTGGTTAAGAGGAAAATATGACCTACATTGGACCAATTATCTATGCTCTGAAAACGGCCCCAAGTCACCAACTAATAACCGCGCATCATCACCTCTTTATGCCGTTTTCATTCGAATTGTCTGTGCTGGTAGGGAGTACTCGAGGCCGAATCCATATTTTCGCACAGCGTGTGTGAAACATCAGATTGTCCGTAAGAGTGAGATAAGCTGGCAGAATTTTCATGTGGCTTTGAACGGAGTTTAAATAAATCACATCTCCTGTGGTTCACGAACGAGTAAAAGAAGCAAAGCCTCTTCCTTGTGGGATTGATCTGAATTAAAAATTTTCTCTTTGGCCTGTCGCGCGCAGATACTTCCTGTGGAGGTTCCATCCCAATTTTAATTCCAGGCAGGAAAACTGCTGTGCGAACTAGAAGAGAGCCCTACATACGAGAACTTCGGGGAAGTTGGCGTTTTTAGTTGGACATCTCAGTTTATTCCCCTTTTACACCGGAACGTACTATCGAAGTATCGGCCTTCCCTTTTCAATTCTTCTACGTACTGGTGAAACTTTACCAATTTGCTTACACGTTTCAGCTTTGAAAATTCCGGTCTTCGAATATTCCGTATCCTCGTCGCCGAGGGCTACCTCTCATGCGAAGCGGTAAGCGGACTTCGGCTGCACCATTGCCTTTTGTATTTTTTTAAAGGTTCAAGTAGCCTTCGCTTTGTTGGACTGGACTCACTTGGTCTACAACACAATTTTCATAGTCAGCTCCGGAAACTCAATCCTTTTAGCGCATTTCGCCGTCAAGTCTTCTTAATCCCTCTTTCGCATGCTTTTTAGATGTCTTGAAATTGGACAGTTTGAACATCGATGTGTTTTCTCGTCTCTTTGAAGCAAGCATAGACAGCAGTATTTAATCAGGAATTGCGCACACCGATCTATTGGCTCCACGAAGCAAACAAGCTCCGTATGGGTGGCAAAGGTCACGAACAGGCAACCAATTACCAGGCCGAAGTCGGCCAAGTCATAATAGCAGCGGGGAGGGACGACAGAGAATGCGGGTAGATTGATGCAATACTGTTTCGGGCTTATTTTGCCTTCATTCAGCCAATCATAACCCTGACCAGCAGCTGGGACCAGACAATCAAACGTGCGCACAGACGCACCTGGCGCAGTTCGTCCACCACTGAGGCCTACCAGATGGGTCACAAGCACTTCCTCGAACCGAAGTTTATCAGTGCCTCGCCATGCCTCAGAGAATGACAAGTGGCGAGGCACTGATGAACTTCGGTTCGATAAAGTTCGATGAAGACCACATAGGCGGTAGACCCCAGTGGTGGACCAGATGCGCCAGGTGCGTCTGTGCACATGTTTGTGTTTCTGGTCCCAGCTGCTGGTCAGGGTTATGATTGGTTGAATGAAGGCAAAATAAGCCCGAAACAGCACTGTATCAATCTACCCGCATTCTCTGTCGTCTCGCCTCGCTACAGCAGTATTTATTAGAGCCAATAAATTTCGCGAAGGCGTCTATGCTTGCTTCACATTCACATCGGGGAAATACTTCTTCAAGTTTTCTCTTGTTCGCGATTTTCAGCATCAGTAATTAGCTAATTGATCGATAACTTGCCTTCACTTGTCTGCCTTTTTTAATGAATTATCTTCTACGACCTCGCACTGGTGGATGAATCACCATTTGCACCCACTTTAGTTCGACCTTTTTTCCACTTTGGGGGACTGGACACCGAGAGTTCTTTGTAGCATTTGCTCATTTCTCCGGCAGTCCACTGTCGGCGAAAACCTGCTTCTGCAGAGCCGAGGTGCGCAAAACGCCTCAGTTGCACTCCTGCCTACTTTCTATCATAGTTTTCTTGATACAACCTCATTTTGCTTGAGATCATAGCCATGTTCTTGTCTGATTTTCTGTTATGTGACCTCAGTGTCCATTTTGATTCTTGGGAGAAAACTGACAACTAATATGTCAATCAGAGCCAGTGATAAAATGCTCCCTGTGCTGTGACAAGTTGCATCAGCATTCGTATTCCTGCTCAGCTACCTACTAGCCGTCAAGGCGATTTTTCATTTCGTCTTACAAAGTCGAGCAAATATGAACCAACGTTGTCAGCAGAAGTATTGTTAGATGAAGTACGATCATAACTGCTAGGTAAGCAATCGCGTTGGGTACTCTCAGTTTGAGGGGAATAGGCGCACCTTGTCTACTCCTGAAAGTGTAGCAGTCGTGCCATCGGTGCGTGCCTCAAGATCTTTCTGGCTAAACCAGTTGGTAAGCATTGGTTTATAGTTTCACCTAACAAAACAGGACTTTGCTTCAAATCGGACCAGTTTCTTTAGAAGAAATTATAAGTCAACATCTGTCAAGTATAATTCCATTAGAGACCACATAGGTAAGACTGGGGAACTAGGTGAGGATTTGAACCTCATGTGGTTACATAACGCGGCAGCAGAACGCCTGTCAGGGCTTTTAGTTGACACCCGTGGGGGATATTGTAGAATGCTCCCCCCTCCGCATTGACCCGAGTATGAACAATGAAGAGTATGATAATGTCCGTATTAAACAGTTAGAGAGACAAATGCGGAAGAGCTGTATAGGCGGTGAGCTACAACGACAGAGCCGCCCCTTTCCTGATTCGTTTGCTCCGTCCAAGCAGGCATGCGCACACGTGGTGTCTCATCTTCCCACTTGCGCGGACCGGCATGTTGGGTGCAGTTGCTTATTGACAACAAGTTGTCGGCACCTCATTTCCCTTGATGAGAGCCGAACCCTCAGCACTCCAGCAAGCACGTACGAAAGGGTGAGATAGCAATATCGGCTTCAGGAACGTCCGCGATCAGAGGCGACAATCTTGATAGCGTATTGTCCTCGTTGAGTGGACAATTTTATCCACTTTGCTCTTGTCAAAACCCCATCACAGTCGCACAGTGTTTTCATGTCTACCACCTGACGCTCCTGCTAATTCTGCCCTTCTGTCCACCCAACCCAGCTCGAGAGGCGGCTCCTCATCCCACAGAAGGACTTCCGCAGGGTCCTGCCCCGCATGGTGGCAAGTGGCTTCATCTCTACTACGGTAAGTTTGACCACTTGCACTTTTTGTCTCCTTGCAAACAAAGTCTGATTTTTGGAGGGAAGACGCTCGTGCAATGGAGCGTCAGACCTTTCGTACCGACTGTCTAACCCGTCATCAAGGATAGCAACAAGTACAGGCGGCGGACTACAGGGGAGCGGGTGCAGCATCTGTAGGATGCGGTAGGTACACAGTCACACGTCTACCAAATTTACAGTAAGTGAAATGACTCCTGAAATACGCGTAAATTCACAAAGAAAGACCTACTCGGTCGGAGGCCGGACCATATGCATTGGTCAAAACTCCCGATGAATAACCAAAAACCCGCAGTAAAATGGGTATACATAGTAAGCATTGAAAGTAATATTAAGGTGGTTAAAAACCACAGCTTTCAAGAAAAGCCGAAACGGCAAAACCGCAACAATTCGCACCAAGTATGTAATCTTTATTGGCGAATTAGGGCGTGTGCACAGGCGGAAAACATAATCCAAGGTTGAAGAAGGCCGGATTGGACAAGACGATATGCGGCAGTCAGACTTAACCTCAACCCCGACCTTTTCCCTAAACTTAGTCTTCAAACTAGCCTGAACCTCAAATTTAATCATTTTTAGGCTCAGCCAAAAACGCAACCCTAGAATAGCATGTCTACCAAAATCAATTTAGCAGACATGCCATAGTAGTGAAAGCCTGGACCTACATATTCAGTCGTTACCAGGGATTTCGCCCCATTTTGCCGATAGCGACGTCACTGAAATAACAGATTCCGCAGGGCCACGCACCCTGAGGCCGGTCTGTAAGAAATTAGCGCAAAATTAGGAGGTGCAATCGTAAGCATACCAACTTCTCTGTATCAGGAAAACTTATCTCCCGTCTGTGCTGTCTAGCGAGTTGGTGTCCGCGGAGTCTCAAGTAGACCTCAAAATGTCATTGAATACTGCTCGATTTTCGGCCTCCACGATTGACTGTCCGAGAAGTTTGTTTATGTGACTTTATAACTGAGTTCTCCGGCGTTCTTTTCATGCATCTGAAAAGTTGTGTCATATTTGTTTGTTATATTTCTAAATCGCATGCTAGCGGAAATTAGGCTGCACAAAAGTATCTTACATCTGCTCGAAAATTCCAATGTTTACTTGACGCTGGACGTCTTCTCGTTTGCCTCTGGGACGTTTGCGTATGCCTGAAAATTGAAGACGTGTTGAAACGAGAAATCGCCCGTTGACGTTATTACCACTCTTCAGGCTACAAAGGTACACATGTACCATTTGCAAATTTAAAATGGAAGGAACTTCCACTGCTATGAGAGTAAGGTGTTGCTGAAAATTTTGCCTCGCCTAGTCTATGCAGGACAAAAGTCAACTTTCAAGTCGGCAACAGTAGTTTTCGTCAATCTTCCTCGTTTTTCTCAATGACCTCTACTCGGAAAACACAGTAATGTGCAGGCATGAGCTAGAACAGTTGCTGACGTAGGAGTTTGCCTAAATTATATCTACCTCCACGCATCTAGGTCTCGTTTTTCATAAATCCCTAGCGAAACATAGCGTACGCAGTTTTGACTAGTATGCGGCTGCCTCTTCTACTTGTACTGAGTATTGAGACTAGGCAATTATTCCACTTCAAGTATCCTCTCACATTTTTAAGCTGAGTTTCAATCGGAAAGAGCTCGATCCTGTCAGCTGGTCAGCAATATTTCGCGAGTTCCGCTCTCGTTTTTAAATGCTAACTTTTCAAAACAGCATTTCAATTTCAAGGGCAATCCTTGTAGCCGAGTCAGTTATTTTGACAGAGCCTTGCAGCTGTTTAGGTCAGATCTACCTTATCCTTTATTTGGGATGCTGTGGGACTCACTGTATGCCATTCGCTAAAAAATTCGCGTGTTATCCCTTTCTGATTATGCTTCTCCATCTACTTTCCTTCTCACTTTTGGTTTTACAGGAATTTTCAAGCTCCAAAGACTTCACTGCTGACTCGATTGTGTGTCTCTATCATGTCAATCTCCCCGTTCTTGCCAGAATGCTTATTGAGCACTCCCAGCACGCACTTCTTCGACTTAACCTGCGTTCCCAAGCAGAGCTCAAGGAAAAAAGGTAAGCAGCTGGGCGAGTCTTGGGACATCCCTGTTAACCATTTTCTGCCTGTGACCTGTTTTAAAGAATACCACTATCATGTTCAGCTCGTCTTACGTGCCAAAGTATCCTTTTCCGACTTTTGAGACGCGTGGGAATCAATTCTTCGGGCCACCCAGTTAGGCGCAGCGGTATCTGTGTATGAACAGTTATTTCGACTAGTTCCCTCAAGGGACAAGTTGGATCCCACAATTGGTTGGTTTTTAATATGTTCGACCGTTGCGTCTGATCATACGTTAGCCTCATGACTATAATCCAACATACACACAAGTCACCGCAGCCTTCCAGACAACGATGGTTCTTGTCTAATACCACAGACGACCACTGTTTTGTTCCAGCAAGAGAAGGTCAACAGTGACTTTAAACCCGTTTGCTCCTTTTTCCGGTTGGCTTTTTTCGTACACAGTCTTCTGAGCTGTCTCACATTGGAGAATTTATCCAACGAACTGCGCGGTTAGTGAAATATGTTAGCAAACAATGACCTTAACTAAATATGGTTGCTTTTTGCTGTGGTAGGGACAGTTTTTGTTGCAAAGGCTTAGGAGTACCCTGGAAGGTCCAGTGGAACTTAGTGGTAACACCTGAAAGTCAGGCACGAGCAGCACTCCAATTTTTCGACGTCTCTAATTCCTTAATGCGTCCCGATTAGGTGTGTGAATTTTGCCACTTCCTTGCATCACTCTTGGGATGATTCTCGTCAAACCGGTTTGCTACTTTTGCGGCGAGCGTTCGAATTGACCATCCACTGCAACTCGGACCATACTCACTGTCGCTTGGCACGTTCTAATTTGCTTTATGCTGTCCTGTTGGAAGTGAATCTTAGGCTTATCTTGTGGGAAGGACATAGAAAATTGAATTGTAACTTCCCAAATTTTAAATTACCCGGATAATCCCGCCCATTCTACCGGCCTTTGCTTCCCTGCTCACTTAGACGGATCTTGCTGTTCATAGTATCGACTTTCGGCTAGCTGTAGCCCATCATGAGTCCCGCATCTGATAATAAAAAAAATCGACTCCGTAGTGCAAGTTTACTGTGGGTGGGCAGTACCGACTAACTATCCACCCGCTTGCATAATTTCTGTATACACTCTTAAAAGTCCGTTTCGATTTCAAGCCGCCTTGTGGAACAGCGTTATCGCACTGAAAATCTAATCCGACTACACGAGGCAAAGATCACACAACTCTCGACCCCCCAACCTGCTCTCCCATCCTCCGCGGCTACTGCTGTGGCCACCGGCAACTCGGAGCCTGAATCTCTCCTGGCACACCATGAGGAGAGCGTTCGTGCTCTTAAATCTAGTATGACGCCTGGAGAGCTGGAACAACTTAGCGCTCTGACCGCTCGTCTTTCCAAGTAGGTTTACTTCGCCACTTTTAGGTAGATTTTTGTTTTCTCTGCAGGCAGTAAATGTGAATGCTTAAATCAGAGTTGCCTTTGCTCGGAAAACTTCATGTTATCGACCGGTTTCTTTTGGTGGCTTCGGATTTTCGCCTACATTACCTACAAAGACTCGGCGCCTAACTACGCTCACTGACTTATCATGTTATCTGAGGCTTGAGGGGTTCCGTGCGGGCCATACGTCAAATAAGGGTCTTCGGCCACGCTAACCACTGCCCCTGCTCTTAGCTCTGGTTGACTTGACCCGGATTTACCACTACCATTAGCAGGAGAAAAAGAGGGCTCGGTCGATCAACTTTCGGATTGAGCGCAGATTCCTCACTAAACACAATCAGACATGTGTTCTAGCTATAAGGACACGCCGATAGTTGTGGCTTGGAAGATCGTCAGCCGACAGTGTAACCTGGAGCTGAGGGTTAGGCTGCAATGAATCCTTCCTAGTGCGGTCATTATAGCAGCCTTTGATGAGAGATCGAAGGTCTCTCGTTGGAAGCTAATTCATACGCATTTATGGCCCGTTACAAGACTGGTACACAGTACACTCAGCTCCATCCTCCTCAGCCTCTGCATACGCTCACCTCCAGTCCTTTAGATTCTGTCTTCCCACCAGTACAGAGTGAGGTATATGCACCAGAAGTCGGCTTATCTATGAAAAAGTGCACGCCCGTACTACATCTTCTACCTGCCAGGAATAATGGTAGTCCTCGTTGTCTGCGATGACCGAACTACCACGATGAAACTGGACAACTGTAAAATTGCGCCGGACAGTCTAAGTCGAAGTTTTTGATGTCAGAAGGACGCTTTCGGGGTGTCAGGCAGCGTTGTCCACCCTAATTTCGCCGCGACGCCTAATTCTCTGCCTACCACTGCCCTCACTTACCCTTTAGGCAAGCCAATATGTGCACAAATTAACTGCATAACGCCAATCTTATCATGAATAACGATGTTTTCGTAGCTCGTGTCTTGTGAAAGTAACCACAGTTCGATAAATCTTGACCACGGACTTTTGCCGCGCAATCATGGGGGAACCTGGTAATACTTGAGTGAATGAACAGTTGTGATGCGTGGAGCACAATCTTACAGTAATCCACGTACCCTAGCACGCTGGCTCTCCTTTATGAAAATTTATAACCACTTTGGATGTCTTCACTCAAGACATACTGTTCAAAGAATATTCTTCTCACTCGCCTTCCAAGCTATTTTCACGGAAGCGGTTCACAGGAAGTCAGTCGGCGCAGCTGTTTTTTGAGACATTGGGTCAGCTTGAGGTTTTACATGCAAAGCTCATCTACACTGGTTTCTTAAATCTCCGCTGATTAAATGCTTTTTAAAGCTACCCGAGCTGTTGCGCATGTATAAGTCTTCCGAACTCTCCATTGTGGTGCTTCTGCGGGACGTTTTATAACCAGAAGAACTTTGACAATGTGGAATTTGCGAAGTTTGGGAGGCAATATCGGAATGCCAGGCGATTTTGAGGTACAGATATCGTCGCGTCTCTTAGGAAGCCATTGTTTTACAAAAATTGTCGCAAGGAAAATGTTTTATTAAGCCCCTTATGAAATGTTTAAACTGAAATCAGTGGGAAAATATGTCGTTTTATTCATTACACTTTTTCCCGAAAAAAATTATTCTAAACGAGATTGTAGATGATTGTGGAAGTCTGGGAGGTTGCGAGAGTGGCTTTTTCGCTTTTTGGGCGTTCTTTAGCCACACCTCTGACCAACGCTATTTAACAAAATACTCATACGCGCTGACGTTACATAGGTGAAGTATAACCAACAAGTTAGCACTCGCATCAACTCGCATTTACTCAGTGTGATTTTAGTTTGAACTCTTGGGAAGTTGTGTCTTCTTGTGTAGTGGGGTATTTTGGATCTAACTAAGATTGTTCATGTATTTTACCCTTTGTAGGCTTTCTTCCGCAAGATACGAAGCCGATACGGCATGGTTTGTTGCGGATTTGTATGTACGCATGTATTACTAATAAACTTATTTTGTACACTGCTCTTCCTGCGCATAATGCTACTTCTTTGAATTGAAATTATTGTGCAATCCCAAGGATTAAGTATTATCACAGCTTTTACAAATTGGAAAACTCGTTTCTATAAGAGGACTGTGAGACTATTCTTTGTTTGATTAAGACAAGCACATCAGGTACTTCGGCGAGTAGTGTATTTTGGCACCTACTTGCATAGGCTTGCTCTTTTAAGGTCGTCTTAAATCTTTTTACACCGTGACCCTTAACCGTCGTACTAAACCGTCAGTGAACTAAGCCTTCGGTTTTTTGGAGCACTGCCCGCAAGTCGGTCTTTTCTGACGTTGTGATCATGGGTTCTTATCTGCGATTTCGGGCTCGGAAGATCGTATTCGAGACAGGTAGACTAACAGTTGTTTCATGCCGAGGGTCTACTTATTCAGGCTGACTGACGTCAGTCTCGAGGGGTCAGATCAGGGATGCAGCTTCTAAACATGTGGGTCTTCCGGGCATTTATAGATACTGCAGCCGACACAGTGGACTGAGTCACCCGGATCACGATATCATCGGCATAGTCGAGGACAGTCAGCCGGAGTCCGGGTTCAAATTCATAACCCTGAAAGCTGTATTGGGCCCTTCGAGGATCCAGCCAATGTCGTTGAACAGGGTGCAAACTTACCGGATGCGAAATCGAATATCGAACTATTACGAGGGATTGGTGTGGAATGGAACTCTCGAAGTGGTTGAGCAATATCAGACTCTGTTCATGGTAGCGTTTTTTTGTCGGAATACGATCTACATAATATATCACGGACGCGGGATGACCGCGAAGAAGGGGGCCGCTTGTTGCTGGTAGGAATTGCGGAACTTAAGACGCCCCTCATTGAATATCTGATTGGTGTTTCCACGTTCTATTCGGCAGGGAGCTCAAACAGATGAATGTGTTTCCGACGTTTAATTACCCTCTCCCTTCTCTCCGACAAGTGCTCGAGACTGATCTATGCTGCTGTTTACATCCTGCTCGTCCGAGAGTTGTCTGAACAAATTAGCGTTCCGTGTGTTTGAATTCTGGAGCTTCCCAATGCTGACAATGACAATTATCGATTGGGGATATAGGATATAATACAGGCAGCATAGGTACTAGATAAGAGCCCAGGCACTGGATTTTCTGCCAGAAAACGCACGGGGAGTGCTGGGGGACCCATTGATGAGCCGAGCCCCCGCAGCTATACCATACAGCGCAGAATGTCGGCGGAACACGCGTGTATGCGATTTCAACTAATACCTATGCTGTCAGTGTGGTATCTCGTAACCCTAAAGCATACTACTAGCTGCCTGTTGGCAGTTTAATGAATATTACACGGTTATCCCGCTGTGGCTGATGGAATTCAGTCAAAATATTTATATCAGTTTTCGGTCTGGGCATATAGATCTTAGTTTAAACTGACTTACTCCATGCTGGCGGCTAATTTCTGAGGAAATGGAAAACCACTCTCAAATGGCTGTATTGACCTACGCGCCGTCTTTTGGTCGACAAATCAGGCGGCCATTTGATGTCTGAAACTGCAGTAATATGCCACATCCCTTCCGCAATAAGCCAGGTATTTCAGCATTAACACCGTGTTTAACCACGTCCCACCTCTACATGAGGGTAGACTCACCATTGACATCCCGCTCGGTCAGTCCCGATGGCCTTTGTCATAACTTTTCTCTGAAAAAGACCAATTTGTTGTTAATTTACAATCACCTAACTGCCTGCTTTGGTTTTCATTGCCACAATAGTGAAAGTATATGTGGACCTGCCGACAAGAACCAGCTGGTTGTATCCCACACGGACTCCGAACGTCGTCGCAAACATTTGCTGATCTAGTACTTGGATGGTGGTCGTACGGTAGGCCACGGCGACTAAGTCCTGATCAACGCAAGCTTTCATAGCCGGGTTCATGATATCAGAGCGATGAATGATGCCGAACCTGGCAACGCCCGTGCTTCGGAGCATGTGCTCGTTCACACATGCCTAAAAATTCACTAAAACCACCAAAAACCAGCACTACAAGTATGCATCATACGCAGAAATCAGATCTAGATTTTCAGTCCGAGTCGAAGAAGAGAGTGGTGGCAAATGATCATCAGTGGAGTTCGCAGAGGGACGCTCACCATAAGCGCCCCTCTACCGATAACCGATCGCAACCGATATGACGACGAGCCCGCGACTTTTGTCTTCTAACCAACATGTTGTGGGATTGAGCCCCAGGTGCTTTACACTTCGAGGTTGGGTATGGCTGGCTGAAGACAGCTGGCAAGTCAGAAATGGCCACTCAGGTTCCTCTTGTCTTTGTCGGTAATGCTATTCTGCCTATATCGTGCGCCTCTGTGCGGTTGCTGGTTGGGCTCGAGAGAAAGCCCGTAAGGCACAACGGGACGAGTGATTTCCGTGAGAACGTTTGAAGGACGTCCCTCCATCATCCCCTCTGTCAATTAAATCGTTTTAACAACTCTAACGAGTACCATGTTACTCGATTACGATCTAACAAGAGGAGGGTAATAAGTATTGAATATCACTTTCATCGAAGGTCATAAACTCGAATCAGCTAGCGAGCTAACGGATCTCGCTTTGTAGATAACGTACACTGTCACCCTATTGCTGCCCTGTTCCAAGGCACCAAAGAGGGTCATGCGTATTTTTTTCGTGATCAGAAGACCCTTCCTTAACTTTGCTGGAGGTCTTTTCGATTGAGGGATAATTTGTTCCGCCGATGTTAAGGCATTGCGTTCAGGCATGACATCCTCGAACAAATCAAGGTCGCACCCCCTTGGAGAACGTGCATTGAAGATCATTTGAACTGGTCGGTGGATTAAGATGCTAACCTTAAACAGGATGGCTAGAAAACCTAAAAATATTTTCCTTCTCTTATAAATGGTATACATTGGATAAATAAGTATTTTTTATTACAGACCTTTGATGGTCCCATAAAAGCAAGTAAAAATACATTTTCATATAAATTTTAGACGAGGTAGGCAGAATCTGTACAAAATGCAATTCATAGTTTCTGAACTAGTAGTCCATTAAGTAAAGTGGTGAGCGAGCAGTGAAAAAAATTCCACTCAATAATTTTGAAAACGACTGGATTAACTTTATGGGAAGAAAAAAAATATCGCTCATAAAATAGTAAAAATGTGGGCAGGACTGGCCTTCATGCGGCGGTGTATAACGGATTATAATCAGACATCGCCAGGGCAAAAATAAATGTCGGCCTTGAGGGGTACTTATGTTTGTCAAACAGGGCTGGTCTGTTTGTGGTATTGTATAAGGGATTTAAAAAGGACATCGTCCGAGCAGAATTTATACGCCGGATGAGACTACTCGCGTCAAATTGGCGAGAAGAAAGAAACCCAGAGGGGGTCGGCCACAGTACGTTTCGAGCCCAGCCGAGGAGTGGGGAGGGAAGGTACGACCAAACATTTAGTAGACAGCGAATACAGCCGGTTCTGCAGTGAGCGTCGACAAACCGCTGGAGGTCGAAATGAGGGAGATGACAACAAAAACCGTAAAAATCGTCACTATGAGTCATAGCAGTGGACTTAGTAACCAATTCAAAACAGGGGGTTGTATAGGTATAAGTGAGTGTTTCCACTTAATCTACCACTAAATCTACAATGAGATCCCCGAAGGATCCTTCTCGAAGTCAAGATGCTGAATGTTGGGGAATAAGGCCGGTAAAAGTGCCTTTATGCTTTCCGGTCTAAGGTGCTTTCGTAATTTTCACTTCAATACTAGTAACGTAGGCGATGACCTAATATTTGGTGGAAGATTATTCCAAAAGAAGTCCTATTTGGAAGCAAAGAAAAGGGTGCATTTAGATGCGGTGCAAAAAGGCGGCGGAATAAACATGGAGGAGTTGCGCGTGGAATAAGACAGATCTCTAGGAGTGAGGGTGTCAATGAGCGGAATATTGGAGTTAGAGTTAATGCGAAAAGGAAGCAAAGGCTAGCTTCGAGTCTTCTAACCCACAAAAACTTAATGTTCGCCTGCCGCCATCTCTAAGTATTGGAAGTAGCGAGTGCGACTTGAGAGAACGGTTTCCGGGTGAAAACCCTCTGAACATTTTCGATCATCTAGCGGCCACAGGCGTTCATTAAACCAAAGAAAGGACAGCAGTATTCGAGGACTGGAAGAGCAAACGTTTGATAATGTCTTAGCTTAATTTCCGGAAGAAAAAAATTATGTGATATGAATCCGCATATCTGCGCGACGTTGGCAGAGGTTCAATCTGCATGGGGTGATAAAGCAAGTTTATTTGTATAACTTAGACCCAGGTCCTTTATGCTGAAGCATCTGAGCATGGGTTCAGTATCAGTATCAGTATATTTCAGGGAAAGTAAGTGTGTACCTTTGAAATCCCTATTGGTTACATGCAGAGGATATATATGGAGGAAATGGAAAGGAAGTAACATGAAAGAAATGCGAGGGGAATAGTAAAAACTGTACAGATGAACACAGAATGTCATGCTTTAACAGAGTTTAAAGGCACATTAACTTGCTTTGTTGGTCAAAATACAGCGGACAGTTGAGGCACACTTAAGACACGGGAAAAGAAATAAAATTGTTTAGTCTACAGGCATCGTGGTGAATGCGAACAGCGGTGCGCGACGTGGTCCAAGCTTAATAAATAACATAAATATATATTACTGAAATGTTGGCAGTAGCATCGTTATAACACTAAATTGTGCGCGGTGGCTGTCAAGGTGGCCGCAGTCCGGCGTTATTGTGGTGCGCGCTACAATGCTGATCTAGTCTCCATTTAAAAGTATCTACCGAACCTGACATAACAACATCCTCAGGCAAGGCATTCCAAGCTGCAACCACTCTGTTGGAGAAGAAGAACTTTCGGGTGTCTAGCCGGACACCAGCCACACGCAGTTTGAGTGGATGGCCTCTCAGGTTAGTCGTAGTCGCCAACTCGAAGAAGTCTCCAAACGCGAGGCAGCAGCCCTGCTTGCGCACGAT